AAAGTCCATTAGTAAAGTGTATATCCATTCTTAATTGTAATCAACTTAATTGTGATGGATTTATTGCTTTTAGCTTCCATTGCTTAACTTCACAGTGGTATGTTCAACAATATATACTTTTTAAAATAACATTATATATTTCAGTTAAATAACTTAATCTCTTCCAATGTAGAGATCAGATGATGTAGATCCGACTTCAAAAAGGAATCTAAAGTTAATTTCAAACTCCAGAGGGATTTACTTTTATGCAAATGTACATATATGATATACAATGCATATTCTAAGTCCTCACTGTTTATGGTATTAAAAACATGATATTTCAATTTTGTACAATGTCTTTTCTATTTTTTGGAGAAAATTAGGTTGGCAATATCAAATCCAGTACAATTTGTTTAGATATGTTAGTGCCATCAAGTGGCAAAGAATGTGTATTTCCAAATTTCTCTTAAACTTGTATAACTTATTGAATATGCATATTTGTGTGTCTTCCCCAGAAAGCATGTCTGATTTTAATAAGCATAAAAAAATAACTGTTACAGTGAATAGTGCAAATTCAACTGCTTAAAGTTTAGTCATTATACCTCCTTTAAAAGGTATAGTAACTATAGAAGGAGAGTTATTAAATGAATTATTCTCTGTAAATGATAATATAAATGCTAATAGAATCCATATAGCTTTTGAAAAGCTTCACAAGAATCTTCAAAACTGAAAAAAAAAAAGGGAGCTCATTGTGTGAAGATAATTGAGTGTTACTCCTACATTATAATGTGACTTTATTATTGTGAAAATAGCCTTTTTTATCAAAGTGAATAGAAATTGGCTGGCTGTAAAGTATTTATGAAAACATGTGCTTTAGAAAGCTTTCTATTAGGTAACTGGTAGAACTATATATAAAATAATGGTATAAAAGCAAGTGTTTTGCACAACAGTATAAATGTATTTAATGCCACTGAAGTAGACACTTAAAAATGGCTGAAATGGTAAATTTTATGTTATGTATAATTTACAATAAAAAATATATTTTTTTATATAATCAGCTTTAACAAAAAAGAGAGAACCAACTACAAAATTTACAAAGGTATATATACATATATAGAGAGAGAGAAAGAGAGAGAGAGAGAGAGAGAGAGAGAGAGAGAGAGAGAGAAATCATTATGACTGAGTAAAGTCCTAAATCCATGATATTAATAAAACTAGATTGAAGTTTTTTTTAAAAAAGTAGGTGTATGTGATGATTAGGAAATAAAAGCTTTTTTTCTCAATAAACAAACTAGAATGAAACTAGAACATCTCTTTTTTTTTTTTTTTTTTTTTTTGTTTTGCCAG